AGGGTTGGGAACCTTCAAACTGTGATGATGTTTGACTCACTACAAAGTACATAGTTATTCAACAATGTGAAATTACCCTCATACAAAATTATCACACTCTTTCTTGAAGGATATCATTGGCAGCACACAAACCAGGGTTTGTTCGTTAAAACAAACTCAACTCTTAAAAAACAAAGATGTCAGAAGGTTACCAAGAGACTAGAAGACTGTAGTTTGTAACTATTACTGTATTAACAATTATTATTCTAAGTAACTAAAAATGTTTCCCCAAAAGATCAAATATGCATCAGTGATATTTTCCTGACAAAATGTACTGGAATTTTATGTCTTTATTCACATTTCAGAAATGTGCTTTAGTAACAAGGGTGTAAATTATATGAGCTGGAATTTAAAGCAATTTATAGCTATATTTGAATAAATATAGCTATAAATATATATACATATTCATTTATATATATATATATATTCATGAAAAAAAATCAAACAGCAAAAAAAAAGAACAATGAAAACGCATAAATCACGTGCAGTAAATAAAAATAGTTTTAGCTATTGTTCTGTTAGCTTTTGTGCTAATAAAGCTGGCCTTTTTTCTCCCGCCCACTGTTTGAGTGAGCGCGTGCGGTGGGAGTGAACAACAGCCGGTCACGTGACCGCGGATATAAAAGGGGAGGGACGTAAACAGAGCAGCAGCAGATAGGGGAGAAACGTTCACGGTAACACGGCTCAGGCTGCAGCCTCTATTATTTAGTTTTAGTGTCTTATGTGACCGAACGGTCATTTAGACCATAAGACCATTTCTTTCCAACTTCAGCTACAGTGTTAGCTAAGTTTGGAAGGGAGAAAAGAGGAGAAACACCGAATCTTTCCTTTATTTTTTAATATTTTCTGCCAACGCTTGAATGCAGAGGGTCTGACCTCTTAAAAACAAAACAAAAAAATCAACTCCTGTTTTTCCCCCCAAACATCCTTAAAATGGAAAATACTGCACCTAAGAAGACATGCTGCGGTGAGTTATCACTTTAAAGCACAACAATGGTTATTGCTATTTACTAAATGATTTATTGTAACTAATATTTTCTTTGCAGAATCCGTCCAGAATTTCTTTACTTCAGCCAAATTTCTGATATACATGGGACATGCACTGTCAACATGGGTGAGTAAATTCTTATCATTACATTATTATGACATCATCTGTAAGATTTACCTGCATTTAAGTGTGTTTCCGGTTTAAGACTCGATATAATGCAACATTGTAATCTAGTCCTCGTGACTTAAATGAGACTCAGTGAGACTAACCTGTATAAATAAAGGTTGAATGAAATTAATGTTATATTTCTGTCATTATGAGTCATATTTCAGTTATAAATTACCTGTTTCGTCAGTTTAAACTACCTAAAATGTGGGTTAAATGATTGACAAACTGTTACAAAGAAATAAAACAAAAATAATATAACTGGCATTGGGCTTTATTAACAGTCGTAGTTGGGCTCTGTAACTTTGTGAGTTAAAGGTTTGGGTCTAAATGACAGAATAATAAATTATTTTATTTACGCAGCCACGAGCTGGATGCTTTGACCTGTCAGTAACCAGGTTTACATTTCTCCAGGGGGACCGGATGTGGAACTTCGCCGTGGCCGTCTTCCTGGTGGAGCTGTACGGGAACAGCCTGCTCCTCACCGCCGTGTACGGGCTGGTGGTGGCCGGGTCCGTGCTCCTGTTGGGAGCCAACATCGGCAACTGGGTGGACAGGAACCCCAGACTCAAAGGTAAAGCAGCGTCACAGCCTTTATGCGTTTCCAAGAAGGAGATGTCTCTGATCAGGTTTTCGCCCATTGTCTCCTCAGTGGCCCAGACTTCGCTGCTGGTCCAGAACAGCTGTGTCATCGTTTGCGGGGTCCTCCTCATGCTGGTTTTCCACTTCAAAGAGCAGCTCTCGGAGCTCTACAACGGATGGATTCTGGTAAGATCCCCCCTCTTCAATGCGAAAACGTTCATATCAGTTTTTGTTGCACAGCACTCTGACCTCGGGGTTGAAACTCCGCTGATATAAGCACCCACATCAATGCGATTTACGACTTCTGCTCCAAGTGATTGTATTTTCCCTCCAAAAGACCAGAAGACCTTTGACTGCCGATTAAATCCACAAACTGTGTTTCTTAATTAACTCATCTGAGAATTTATAGAACGGTACACTTATAATTGCACATAATAGTTCAGGTTTTATTCTCATAGGGCAATCCCAAAAAAAAAACCATTTTCGGTCCGTTTACTCGTAAGGTTTTGGACCTGTCAGGTAGGACGGGTCTGAGTGGAGATAAAACTCATCTGTTTGTGGGGGAAAGAGTCCCAGCTGGTGTTTGTGGCGAAATCTCCATGAAACAGGAGATGAAGCGTCTGCTTCTCCGAGCTGTTTAGTCAGCAGGTTATTCAGGCCGGTCACGTGACGAAACAACAAAAGTTCTGTTGGAGTCTCTCTGGACCGAGCAGCGCAGCTCTGCAAACACGTTTCACAAGCGCAGAACAGTTTGTTTTACGTTTCATTTACTGCTGCTGGCACAAAAATACTTTATTAGAGGTCCTGCAGCTGTCGCTCCGAATGGTAATTATTCACAGAGACGTGTTTTCCAGAAGAAAGTATTGATTCTTTTAGTTTTTAGTTTTGGCAACAGAACTACAGAACTTGACCTTTGAGTCCGGTCATTAAAACGCTTCTTTTGTTGCCAATATTTGTTTTTGTTTTTTTAAATGTCAGAAAGCAGCTGTTCAGGAGCCGTGTGCTCATTTCAGACTGCTCCAGAAAAAATAAAAAATAAAAACTTTTTGTGGCAAATTCATTTTACATTTACATTTTTGTGTTTCAGCAAAGTGTTAAATGTTCTTAAAAGAAAAAAAAAGAGTTGACAATCGTTCTGTTTTTGCACAACTTAAAGAAAGAGTCATATTTAAGGACTATTTTTAGCTGCACACTCAATGTTTTGTGTCTTTATTTACAAAATAATCTACAGTTTGTGCTCGTGATGAGCACCAGTGTGGAATAAAGAGGAATATCTGTTTTTGTCACAACGTTTGTGATTTCTGCCGGGGTGTACAGTGGTGAATTTAGTGGTGCAGAACCGTCACAATATGATATGCCACAGGGGACACAATGTGTAGCAGATCCTTTCTAAAGCACTCCACATGAAGGCAAAGCAAGAATAGTTGGTTCAGATGTAACAGGAGCTTGAGGAGCCGTTTGTTTCAGATTAGCTCTGTGGAAAGATTTAGAAATTCTCATTGATCTACGGCAGCAGTAAAGGGTGAAAGGTGGATGTATGGAAAGCCAAAAGGGCCACAATTCACGTTTCTAAAACACCATCTGTGTATAATAAACGTCAACAGGTGCGTTTATAAGCACCGCCTGCGTAGTACAGTAGCACTCGGCTAGCTAAACAGTGTTTAACATTTAATTTAGTTTGTATTTCTGCTGCTGTGCCTTTTTTGTTTTACTCAAAGTTAAGTCAGGTCCTTTGGACGGATTAAAAAAATATAAAATTGTTTCAAATCCAAAACGTTTCATCTTTTATCCAAAAGACTTCTTCAGTCTGAGGAGCTGCACTGAACTCAGTCTTCTAAACAGCACCTTCTCATCGTGGATCAACCAGTTTGTTGTTGACAGACAGAACCAGCTGCTCACATGATCAAGGAGGACCATCAGCCTAACGACTGATCGTTAGTGCTCTGATGGCCGCTTGCTATTCACAGGGGGGCAAGTGGTACGAGCAATCACAGCATTGTAAGAGGGGGACAGTTGAACACGGAGGCCTCCACCCCCGTTTAATGATGGACGGGTTCTCTTCACAAAGATGGCCTCTTCTCTCAAACCATTGTTCCTCTCTATCAAGGATGTGAACATCTTCATCCCTGAAAGAGTGACCGCTAGCCTGGAGATGTGGATATCCTAACTGGGCCTTCCTGAAAGCAGAGAAGAAACCCAAACAGGACTCCAGTCAGCCATCAGTGAAAAGGAGGAACCCAGACCAGTGGTCATTCTGTATGTTGCAGGAGTTTCAGAGAAACTGAGATGTTTATTTTCTAAACAGGACGTCCCAGTAGCTTTCAAACCCCAAAATACATTACGACAAAGACTGGTTCATCCCAAAGATCCAGTTCCCCGGCACAAACAGAGTAATGTGTATGCTGTTCAGTGTCAGGAGGGTGATCAGTCTTACATCGGGGAAACTAAACAGCCACTGGCCAAAAGGATGGACCAGCACAGAAGATCAATATCATCAGGCCAGGACTCTGCAGTCTACACTCATCTCCAGGCCAGCGGTCACTCTTTCAGGGATGAAGATGTTCACATCCTGGACAGAGAGGAACGATGGTTTGAGAGAGGAGTAAAGGAGGCCATCTTTGTGAAAAGAAACCGTCCATCATTAAACGGGGGCGGAGCCTCCGTGTCTCATTGTCACCTTCTTACAATGCTGTCATTGCTAGTATCACTCAGCCCTCTGTGAATAGCAAGCGACCATCAGGGTGCTAATGACCAATTGTTAGGCTGATGTTCCTCCTTTATCATGCTAGTTTTGGCTGTCACCAGCAAACTGGTTGATCCACTATGAGAAGGGGCTAAAGTATTTTGGATTAAAGACGAAACTTTTCAACACTTAAAAAAATAATAATAATCTGTCCAGAGGACCTGACTTAACTTTGTTAGACTTTTCTATCTGGATTATTGAGCAGCATCAGGATACCTTTTTATTTTACACTGAGTTTAGGTAAAATTTACTTGTAAAACTAGATATAGTCATTTGGAACTTTTACAAAGTTTTTGTTTGACACGTGACCAGTAGGTCACAGTTTATTCCAGAAGGACTCTCTTTATTCTTGTAGGACTCCCTTTAGTCCTGTAGGAGGGTCTTTACCGCAAAGTAATAAAGATGTTTTATTTTACAGACAGTCTGCTACATTCTGGTCATCACCATCGCCAACATCGCCAACCTGGCGAGCACGGCAACCTCCATCACCATCCAGAGGGACTGGGTGGTGGTGGTGGCGGGTCAGGACAGCAGCAGCCTGGCAGGTGAGGGTTTCCTTCCAGCTGGTTTCACACGGTGACGTGTTATCAGACATCTTCAGTGGGGCGGACTTTGAACCTCTGCTGCTGACTCAGTCTCGTTTTCCACTGTTTATACCCCTCAGTTTCCTCCTGATTGTTATAAGCCGTTTAAAAGATTTACAGTACTCCCATTGAACCCGTTGACACTCGGGAAAGAAATGAACCGACCTGCATTTTCTTCCACCTCAAACAGACATGAACGCCACGGTTCGGATCATCGACCAGTTGACCAACATCCTGGCGCCCATGTTGGTGGGCCAGATAATGGCCTTCGGCTCTCATTTCATCGGCTGCGGCTTCATCTCCGGCTGGAACCTGTGCTCCATGTGCGTGGAGTACGCTCTGCTGTGGAAGGTCTACCAGAAGACGCCGGCTCTGGCTGTGAAAGCTGGACAGAAGGAGCAGCAAGAGCTAAAACAGCTGAGCCCCCAGAAAGGTACCAGAACCTCCTGAACCCAGACAACTCTGAACCCTGAAACTGAGTTGGTGAAGACCCCGAATACTAGCTAAAAGAACAGCTATGTTAGCTAAGAGCCAAAAGTTACAAAACACTAGCTCAAAGCTAAAAGGCTAGCTAAAAGCTATAGTAGCAAAATGGCAGTAAATGGATGATGATGCAGTAATAAAGCAAATTTTCTTAATTTTTATTTACGTCATATATTTTGAAATGTTTCTATTTATTCTGCGTGAACGCTTTGATCAGTCGATCCATTCTTTGGTTGAACAGATATGGAGAACGGTCAGAGTCCCGAGGAGTCGTCTCAGCCTCTCATGAATGAAGTGGCGACGGTGAACGCCCTCAACTCGTCCAAGGAGCGCGGCTGCTGCTACCAGGTGTCCGAGCACCTGCACACCTTTAAGTCCGGCTGGGTGTCCTACTACAACCAGGACATCTTCTTCGCCGGCATGTCCCTGGCCTTCCTCTACATGACCGTGCTTGGCTTCGACTGCATCACCACCGGCTACGCCTACACGCAGGGCCTCAACGGCTCCGTCCTCAGCCTGCTGATGGGGGCCTCCGCTGTCTCGGGCATCTGCGGCACCGTCGCCTTCACCTGGGTCCGCAAGAAGTGCGGCCTGATCCGTACGGGTTTCATCGCCGGCATGATCCAGCTCTCATGCCTTATGCTGTGCGTCTCCTCCGTCTTCGCTCCCGGAAGCCCCTTCGACCTCAGCGTCTCGCCCTTCCAGGACCTTTACACCCATCTTATGGGGGAGCAGACCCTGCCTGAGGCGGACCACATCCTCATCGGGTTGAACGTCACGACGACGACTCCACCGGCCCAGGAGCTGCCCCCCCTGCAGTCCTACATGTCCGTCAGTCTGCTGTTTGCCGGCGTCATTGCTGCGAGAATTGGTGAGTAAAATTCACTCCGAGGTAAAAACAATATTTTTCTCAAACTTTAACTTTGGTTCAACCCGCAGTTCCATATTTTAGTCCCCAAGAATCAGACTTGCTTCTAATCTTCTCCAGCCTGGTTCACTGGCTGCTTGAAGACGCACACTGATTGATGTTTGCATCAATCCGTCCAAAATTTACTGAAAGTTCATAAACATGAACAAAAAAATAATGTTTAGATCTTTGTAAACTGGGTGGAAAGCTCCCTCCAGGTTTGAAATGGGTCTCTGCTCCAGTCTGGTTAAATACACTTAACTTACTGATCTTGTCTGCTACAGCGTCACCCGTAGTCATGACTGAAAACCCAAGACCCTGGATCCAAGCAGCAGAAACTATTTTGTAAGAGAACTAGTTTTCAGCAACAGGACAGCGAGCCTCTGCGACTTACGTCAGGAAACTGAGAACCCTCGCAAACGTTTCTGAGACCCCCTCTCGAACACCAAATGTCACTGACGGTCACAGCTCGGTGAGATGCTGACTTTGTGTCAGAACAAAAACTGGTTCGTCTTGAGTTTCAGGGCTTTTTGTGCCTGACTGACTCAGGTGAAAATGTTCAGGAAGCAGCTGAAGTTGCAGGAGTGTGTGGCTGCTTGGATCCAAGCAGAGACTCCAGAGTCCAACAATCAATAGTTAACCTGAAATTTAATGTCCCAAAGGAAATAAGAGTTTTATTCTTGTGACTTCTCCTAAAACAGAAAACTTATGTCCTAAACACAAGTCAGTGAGATTCACAGGTTGGACTTTCATTTGAAATGTCCCTGAAGACGGTCTGGATCTGCCCCGGATGTCAGTCACAGCAGTATTTGAGACCTTTGAGTCCAATAATGTTGCCTGATTCTCTCTGTACCGACTGTCGGCTGTAAAATCCTCCCCATGTGTGCTGATCCGTGTCTCCCTGCAGGTCTGTGGTCCTTCGACCTCACCGTGACCCAGCTCATCCAGGAGAACGTGGTAGAGTCCGAGCGAGGCGTGATCAACGGCGTCCAGAACTCCATGAACTACCTCTTGGACCTGCTGCACTTCATCATGGTGATCCTGGCCCCCAACCCGGAGGCCTTCGGCCTGCTGGTCATCATCTCCGTCTCCTTCGTGGCCATGGGTCACATGATGTACTTCCGGTTTGCCTTCAAGAGTCTGGGCAGCCGCCTGTTCCTCTGTTGCTCGCTGGAGCAGAAGGTGGAGACGGACGACAGCCCCTCACTTCCGACCACCGTCTAACCCCATTAAAGAGACTGTTCTGTTCCGGGTACGAGCCTGGCCCGGCCCGGCCCTGCATCTTATTCACCCAACTAACACAACAGCTCGTAGAATCCTGGTGCTAGCCAGTGCTAGCACACTTCCAGCATTAGCATAGGGAGAGTAGTCCGCTTGTAGTCACAGGGAACTAACTCGTAGTGCAACTTTAAAAAAAGGCGGGGCTCTGCTCGTTAACACTCGTAGTCTCATCGATAACCTCTTGGCGGCTTCGTCGTGGAAATCAGGGGGGGGGGGCTCCGACGCTGTAATGTCTTCTCCCGTTAGCCCTGGTCGAGCTGGTTCCCGCGGGACTCTTCAGCTAACGAACAGGTCAAACAAAGAAGTCCGTCAGGGAATCAAGACGCCGAGGTTCGAGTCGAAGACGGCGGCGCTCCGTCTGAGACTCGCCTCTCGACGCGTTGACCGGTGCTGCGTCTCCTTCGTCTGTACATAAACGTTTGACGAGCGGCTCGTTGTATTTAACCAAACGCATAACTAGTCTCTTTAACGGCGATAAGGGTTACACTTTTAACTATTTATTCTCAGGCGGTGGTTTTTGTGAGTTTCTCGTCAGTATTGTGTCTTTTTGTGCCATATGAAACAAACGGGAGCCTCTGTCGACCACAGCGACCAAAGTCCATCTGCGCCGCAGGGAAGAGAGGGAAACCAGTTCTCTGTACGTGGCATGCCTGGATGTTCGAGCAGAACCCAACCCATTTATTCTGGTCCAACGTGACCAAAGTGTTTTCTTTTTTTTTTTGATTTTTGAGTTCTCTAGCGTGATCTTTCCTTTCTCTCGTGATTGTCGTTACTCAGGCACTTTAGGCGATCGGTCATTACACACAGCTAATGTGTAATCGGGCACCAGTTCGATAGTCTTTGCACATTTATTCCCCGCCGCCAACCCGAGCCACACATCCTCCCCTCGGTCACGTGCCGTCCGGTGAGAGGATTGTGGTTTCAAACAGAGGCACATATTCATCAGGTGGGCGAGGACAGTTTATTCTGGACAACCCGCTTCCTCACAAGAAAATCAGCCAGAAATCTGAGTCAGCAACCCGTCCAGAAACAAGAAAAATGTTGTTCAAGTCAAACCATGTGGATTCTTTTGGGTCTAGAGTTAAAACAGAGTGCTGAAACCACTCGTTGCTTCCGTTTTCTTCTTCCCAGCAGCCAGATGTTCCTGGCTCTAAAGTGGTCTCCATCCACAGGGTCCCACTTTCCGACTGTCTTCTGCTCTTTCTCCCAGTTTCCGTCCAGCTCTTGTACTGCCCTGGTGGCATGGCGGACAGGTAAATAAAAATCTGAGCAAAAAGCCGAACAAGAAAAGAAGCAGGAGACGTTAAAAAAATAAAAAAAGTTCTCAGCTGATGAAGACCATCTGAAAATCTCATCTTGGAGGAAAAAAAGACGAGCTGATCTGTGCCTGTTTTACAAATTTAATCGTGTAAAACTAATTTTTGTTGATTCGTCTGGAGACTTTTGAAACCGTATTGATTTGTAAGTCAAGAGTTAAAGGCTTGACAAACAAGAAAAATGCTTTGAAAGATTTTAGCTTCTTGAAGCAAAGCAAAGAGACAAGGAATGGATCAGGACTTTTGCACTGTGCTGTTTGTACCTCACAAAAATTTGTGGCTTTTTTTTTTTTTTGCATTCTGTATTTTCCTGTAGACGTTCAAGTTGAAATATTAGAAACGAGTAAGAGGTGAACGATATTTAAACCAGATCAAGTAAATCTTTTCTTGCCCAGTTTAATTTTCCTTCTCGTCTGAAATGTCTAATTTTATAAATCCACTTTCTTTTTAACGCCTTATTGACGACCTGCTGTTTAACGCGCACAAAGTCCTAATTAAGACGTTCCTCGTGGTCGAAACGTGTTCCGACCGCACGAGGAATTTAATTTTCACGTCCAAACGATTCAGGAACATCACGCGCTCTTATAAACTCATTTTAACGTAGTAAATATATCCTTACTTTAATGCAGGATTGGAAAACTTAAATATATGAGTGTACTGTTATATTTGTCTTTTTTAAGTGGTTTTGTATTTGTCGTGTTTGGGATTTTGTTAATTTGTGCATGAATCTGAATACATCTGCTTTAATCACTCGTGTATAAATATACAGTATTGTAGTTTTATAAGCAGGAGCTTGTAATCACGCTGAAATCACTCCGGTGGGAACGAGGACGTCGTACTGCTTTGTAACGTTTGACGTTTCTGAAATAAAAAAAGACAAAAAGAGGAATTGGCAACGAGTCGTCTGTTCCTGGTGTGTATGTAGAGTTTTGAGCTGCTGTGTAAGGTCACATACCACAGCAGCTCAACCCCCCCTTGTTTAAGGAATTCAAAGAGTTGGACTTAAAGCCGAGACCCGGACCGTTTGTTCAACTTGAAGCACGTCAAGTGTTGCAGGTCATTTTTCTTTTTTTAGTATTTCCACAATTAAACTACCTTAAATGTCCGTCAATAGAAAAAGATCATAAATGAGAACTGGTTCTTGATTGGGTACAAATTGTTTGTCTGTTTTTTAATTGCCCAGTCATGACCTTTGACCTTGAACATGTCCATAAATAGTTACATTGTTAGTAACCCGTAGTCCCTCATTTATCGCTGGTGTTAGGGACCACGCCCACCCGCGATAAGTGAAAACCGTGAAGTAGGGATACAGTAGTTCAAGTTCAGTAAACTTTGTCATGACGTGTGCCAAGCTGTAATCACTCATCACCTGTTATCCCCAATCTCCCTCCTTTAAATAAACAATTTAAATTTAAATACTCTAACGTTAATAATGAACAACCCATGCAGCATGGATTGTTTATTTAAAATGTTACAGTATTTAAATTTAAATTGTAGAGAAGTGCAGCAGGACATCAAAGGGATGTCACACAGCTTCAGCTCTGCGGTACGGAGCAGAAATGTACTTCTTGATCAGTTACACCGAAACGACTGAACATAGAAGTTCTAAAGTAATTAAAAAAAAAAAAACTTTTAACACTTTTATATTTTGTGATCATGGTGATTTTTATGATGTGACATACTTTGAATTTTAAGCTGGAAGACAAAAATCGACCGGTGCACCTGGACAGCAAAGGGTTAAAGCTGCAGCAGGAAAAATGTGTGCGCACGGCAGAGAAGATCAGCTGATCAGCTGCAGGAGGGAGCTTCTCCCTGCACTTGTGGGCTGCACACACGGTGCAGAATCATTTAAAATAATTTATTTCATGACTCATCCATCAACCAGCCAATTGTGTCCTGACCAGTCTCATTTTGAAAAACTGCAATATAGAGAATCCGCGAAAAACGAACCGCGAAGTAGCGAGGGACTACCGGATACAGCAATTTATAGCAATGACCCTAACAAGCTAAGACCTTGAGTAAGCTTTGACCTTCATTTATGGCCTTGACCTTGGAGCTGGGGGGATAGGAAGTGTATGTGACGCTCCATCTGGTGACGAAGCAGAGGTGTTTGTCATTAAATCTTGAGCGGATCAGAAGTTGTTAGAGAACGTTTATGGACATGCGGACTCTTTAACCATGTCTGTCCTTTCGATGGGTGTTATCAGCTGCTTCTCTGAGGTTATTGCTGATGTCTTTCTGCCTTGGTGTTGTTTTGACAGGTGTGTTTTAAGACAAAGCCAAGCATCTTTAGGGGAAATGACCTAAAACCTTTCCCAAATTGATGGGCAGCAAGTCTCTTCTCTAAGGTCATTGCTGTTGTCTTTCTGCCTTGATGTTTTTACATATTGATATATTTTAACACAAGGCTAAGGCGGAAGAAATCTGCAATGACCTTAAGAGTCACCCTTTGGGTGAAATGACCAGTCTGTTCCAGACGGATGGGCAGCAACAGTTGTTGCTGTCATTGCTCATGTACTTCTGCTTTGGCATAGTTTTTACAGTTGACTTTTAATGAAAGCCAGGGTGGAAAGACATCAGCAATGACCTTAGAAAAGTAATTTTTGTGTCGAAATGACTTTTAACGCTTCCCAGATTTAAGGATGATATAACAGCTGCTTCTTTGGCTGATTTTTAATGCAAAACCAAGGTGGAAAGACATTAGCAATGACTTTAGAAAAAGTATTGATTTAGGCAAAATTTACTTTAACCTTATCCACGTTCGTGGGCAGCAACAGATGCGTTTTTTTAGGGTCATTGCTGATTTCTTTCCACCTTGGCGTTGTGGAAAGCTGGAAGCTCCAGAGCAGCAAATCCAGCTTCTCTAGAGGTGGTTCCACTGATGCTCGATCAGCATCTGCTGGCTTCAGTTTCACTCAACAGGAGGTTAAAGTGTTTCAGGCACCGCGGCGCTCAGACCATCGCACCGACACGACGCCTGAAGCTTCACTTGCAGAAACAAAAGGCACAAACTCTCTGTTCTGCATTTGACAACATGTATGAAGATCAGATGACTCGGGTCCTTCCTCATGCTTAGAGTTCATGCCGAAGTAAAAAAAACTGCTGATGGCGGTGAAAGTCCAACGTCTGCAGTCAGAAGTGGGAGATAAGAGTTTCCAGGAGATATGGTCTTCTAAACGTGCACGTTTTTTAAATAATAAGCACAAAAGTTGAAAAAAAAAAAAATAATCTTAAACGAACTTCAGACAGGAGATTATGGTTCCTGGTTTTAATCAAGCTGCAGCTTTTAGGAAAAAAAATAATTAAAAGTGTTAAAGTTTTTAGCTGCATGAAGCTGAAGATTTTTGAGCTTTTATTGTGACAATAAATGTAGAAATTTGTTCCGTACAGATTATAATCCAAGTTTGTGTTTTATGCAGCAACGGTTTTATTTTTGTCACTGGAGCAGCTTTACGAGCCTTGGCTCAATAAAAGCAGCAGAAACACGGTGACAAGCACGTCTTGTGCGACCCGGTTCGACCCGTTACAGAACACAGAGCTGCAGCGAAAGCACCGGAGGCTCCAGACCACCTGACCCAGAAGGGAAATGAAAGAGCTGAGGTTCTACCCGAGCCTGGGAACCAAACGTGACCTCAAGAACCAGAACTTCAGGTCCGCTGGAACCGATCCAACTTCACAGAAGAATTTTTCTGTTACCAGGACTGAGATGGTACCAGGTCTGAGACGACACCAGCCATACAGCTGAGTTAAAATCAGCTGGATAGTAGCTAAAGAAGTATCTAAATATAGCTGAGCATTAAAATCAGTTTTGGATAGTAGCTAAAGTATCTAAATATAGCTGTGTTAAAATCAGCTGGATAGTAGCTAAAGAAGTATCTAAATATAGCTGAACATTAAAATCAGCTGGATAGTAGCTAAATAAGTATTTAAATGTAGCTGAGCATTAAAATCAGCTGGATAGTAGCTAAAGAAGTATCTAAATATAGCTGAGAGTTCAAAGTAGCTGGATAGTAGCTAAAGAAGGATCTAAATATAGCTGAGTTAAAATCAGCTGGACAGTAGCTTAAAGAAGTATCTAAATATAGCTGAGTTTAATCTGCTGGATAGTAGCTAAAGAAGTATTTAACTATAGCTGTGTTAAAATCAGCTAGATAGTAGCTCAAGTAGTATTTAAATATAGCTGAACATTAAAATCAGCTGGATAGTAGCTAAATAAGTATTTAAATATAGCTGAGAGTTCAAATCAGTTGGATAGTAGCTAAAGAAGTATTTAAATGTAGCTGAGCATTAAAATCAGCTGGATAGTAGCTAAAGAAGTATCTAAATATAGCTGAGAGTTCAAAGTAGCTGGATAGTAGCTAAAGAAGTATCTAAATATAGCTGAGAGTTCAAAGTAGCTGGATAGTAGCTAAAGAAGTATCTAAATATAGCTGATAGTTCAAAGTAGCTGGATAGTAGCTAAAGAAGTATCTAATACAGCTGCTCTTCTGGTTTCTGAGCCCGGTTTAAACAAGCTCAGATTCTGAAGCAGGACTTTAAAATAAAATAAACATTCCGGAGAAAAGAAAATTGGTTTATTTTCCAATAAATGCAAAAATGAATCTGTCAGAGCGACAGGAATGGGTCAGGACCGGCGCCGTGAAGACGGTGAGTCCGATCAGAACTCAGAATGTTCTGTTGTAACGTGAGTCCAGGTCCAGTTTGGGCCTCAGCAGCAGACGTGTGTCAGGGGTCCAGGAGGCCCGTGAGCCAGCTGTGGTCCATTCTCCTGATCCTCCTCAGTTCTCTGACCTCAGCTTTCGTTAGGGCGGGGGCCGAGCCCTCCTCCTGCGCCCCCCGTGACCTCTGCTCAGGTCTCGTGATCCCGGTCTCCATTTCCTCTTCTGAGTCGCCGTCTTCTTCTTCTTTCTCGCTCGCCGTTTCCTCCTCCAGGCGTTTGTTTTCCTCCCTGAACCCCAGAGACAGAACAAAGCAGGTTAACATGACTCAGCACGTCCCCGTCGGCAAACTGCTGTGTCACAGGAAGCTCCGGTCCCTGCAGCGTTTTGTCGAGTCACGCTGACTGTTTCCACCCTGAGCGAACTCAAGCATCTAAGACATGACGACCATCGTCTGCCGACGCCCAACAACTTTACAAAAATTCTTCTTTTAGCTGTTCCTCAGGTTTTAGCTGATTGTTGTCTGGAGCTAAAATCTTTATTTTCCGTCAGTTTTTCAACATTTAGGTAAAGAAATGGAACCAGCTAGTTTGGTCCAGATGCGTGTTCAGATACAGGTTAGAAGCTTTGCTGTTATTTTGTCAGAATATGATGATTTAACACCTCATCTGTGCAAAATATAATCCTAAAGAACGCTTTGAAGCTTTTTTTCTGAGCAGAATTAACAATCAATGACGACTTGGAGCAGATAAAACTTACATTTTAGCTACTTTCCCTGCGCGCTAACAAAGCTGTTTCGGTACGAGCTGGGGAATCCTGAAATCCAAATCTGGTTCAAGGTTTTTCTCTTTTAAATGTCATCAAGAAATCCTCTGTAGAAAACATTAAAATAAGATTCAGAGCCATTGTTCAGGAGGAAGACAAATCTGGCCAGGAGCCGATTTCAGGGTTAATCTGGGTGAAGAGGCAGAAATTTGAATATATGCTAAAGCAGGGCTATTCAACTGGAGGCCCGGGGGCCAAATCAGGCCCATGGGTGAGCTCAGTTCGGCCCTCCAACGGGTTCATTTTTAAACAAAACTAAACTTTAAACCATAAAACAAACTTACTTAATGACAATAACTGCAGGATGTCTGGCCCCTGAGCGCTTGGCTTTCAGTAACTGTGGCCCCCTGATAAATTTAGCTGAACAGCCTAAAGTGTAATTTCAAATCTTTAAGAGGACTGAAACTGGGTGAAAAAAGCAGCTGAAGTCCAGAGAAGAACCTTCAGTAGGTCTGGAGACCTGCTGCTCAAACAACACTTTAAAACGTCTGGCTGCTCGGAGGGAAAACGTTTAGAGAAGGGGCTGGATCAGGACTTTCGCACAGTTCTGTTCGACCTACCTGGCTCCTGAGACGGAGACGAGCAGCGATTTGACAAACATGGAGCACAGGAAGGAGGTGGAGGGGAGGACGTGGGCCGGGGTCTGCAGGAGCTGGAAGACAGAGGAGGTCCGTTAAAGAGTTCTGCAGAACAGAAACGGGTCGCGGCTGAGGAGCAGAACCCACCTCTTTAACGGTCGCAGAGCTGTGAGGAAGAGGAGGAGCTACGTCAGCTGACGGGCCGCTCGCCGCCTCATCGGGACGCTGATGTTTCCCCAGCAGCAGGTAGAACGGCGTCACGGCGATGGAGTCATCGACGACGAGCTGAGAGGAAAAACAGAATCCGTCATGAAAAGTGAAAATAAAAGATCGACAGCTCCGAGTACGACTCTCAGCTACTACCACGCCGTTGTTGCTCAGACCGGAAACCGTTTTTGTGTTCGCCGACGTCGGCTATCCGAGTTTCATTCAAATCTCTGTCAGTTTTTTTTAAAGACCAACTTCAACGAGTTTAACTTTAAAAACAATCGTGACTTTTTCACATTTCTGTCGCCTTCAAAAATACACGATGCGTTCAAGAAAATCAGAATTCCAATCGCCTAGTTTGAGGCAAAATCTAAAAAACAAAATTCCAGTGAAGTTTTAAAAGTGGACCAACGACTAGCAGAGCGGGTTAACTCGTTTCTTTCTCCAGTGCATAGTCTAATCTTTGACGAGTTTGTAATTAACAGAACGTCTGAAGGGCAGTGAACGCAGCACGATTTAGAATTAAACGAAGGGAGGAGATAAAAATAAGAGGTTATTTGTTTTAACTTGAGCAACAAACGTAAAAATGATGAGACGGGGTCCACTTGTTTCTAAAGTTAGGGTCAATTCGTTTTTTTTTTAATAAACCCACTTCCTGTTTAGGAAATCGTTCTCCAACAGGGAACAGTCCTCTGGTTTGATCGGTTTTAACTTTTTCTCCTTCGCTGCTGACAATCGGACAAAAGAATAAATAAATGCACGCGCTGGACGCGATCCGTTCTGGATCCGATCTGGAGCGTTCAACGTTTTGACGAAGCTCACCTGTTTGCTCGAAGCCATCAGCTTTTCTTCTTCTGCTCTGGTGCTGAACGTCAGCAGGTCCTGCAGGAGGAGGAGTAAAAACTGTAAACAAACGAGCTGTAAACAAACGAGCTGTAAACAAAATCATACAGAAGAGACAAACGGCAGCTTCCACTGATGCTGCGTTCACTGTCACTACGGCACAAAACACTTGAAGCTCAATAAAAAACATTTAACGCTCGATCTAATTCTTGTTTCATGTGTGATGTCACTCTAGTTGAATTAGAACAGGGGTGTCCAAAGTGTGGCCCGGGGGCCATTTGTGGGCCTCGGAGAGATTTTATGCGGCCCACATTTGCAGTTTAAGGATGTAATAATTTTGGCCTGAAGGCTTAAACGATGTAGACCTTTTACAAATTTAATAACTTTTTTCATATAATTTTTAGGTTTAACAGCAAAAACAAGTAAAAAAAAAAAAATCTCAAAATGAGCAATATTAAATTAAATACAATCCTTTGGCAATAAATCAATAAAGTCAAATAAATAAATAAAATATTAATGTTTTTAGGCTTTTAATGTTTTGGATCTACAATAATTTAGACACCTTCACCACCAAAATTTGAACATTTTGTCCTTTATCCAAAATATTGTTTCCGTAAAAAAAAAAAATCACTAAAAATGTGTATGCTTTATATTATTATTATATTTTATTTATTTTAATTCACATTTTTGTGGCTCATGACTCTTTTCATCTTGGAGGTTTTGGCTCACGTATGAAAACGTTTGGACGCCGCGGTCTTAGAAAACACGTTGCTCACGCTAAATTATTTAATATTTTATCTGAAGTTTACAAAATAAAGCTGCACTCCGTAGAGATGTTCGATTTTTATTTATGCAATTCCTTCGTGGTTAGTAACGTTTAAATAAACAAAATAAAATCGCAGCTGAAACACAAAATGCATTAAATTAACTTTTAAAATAATGTTAGATCATAATTAGAAAATGAATTAAAACATAGAAACTTGCAAATAGATGCATTCAGTGTAGCTTGTTAGTGGCGGGCAATCACGTTTTCCCTGTTTATTTTTCAGTCTGTTAGCAAAATATCTCGTGAAAATAAGAACAGATTTGAACAAAAACATCTGTGGATGTTTGTCTATAATCTAGATGATATATAATCTAAGATGGCCGCCACAGCTAATCTACAGTAGTTGACACAAAAACAGCTCCAATTGTCAGGTTTTACAAATAATAAACTAATATCTGGTGTGGTAGTAGCTGAGAGTCATCCTCAACACGTACTTTTGAGCGTCAACAAATCTTAAAGAAAAATAATAAAACTTTTATTAAATTTACCAGAGTTTGATGGAAGAGATCGTAATCGTTAGCACAATTAGCATGTTGGCGCTGCAACTTATTTATTTACTGTTTAATTGACTTTTAGGTTTTCCAGTGAAAATAAAAGTATTTAAAACACATTTTCAAAAAGAAATAAATCCTAAATTGACATAATTTACTGTCAAATTTATCGTCTTCCAAACCCCACAGGTTGTATTTTATGGAAAATGTAGCTTTTCTGTCTGAAAACGAATAAGAATCAAACATTTTTTAGCTTGTACAACTATTTTACTCTTTGTATAGTTATAAAAGTTCTTATTTATACTGATCGTTTTTAATTTAACATAATCAACAGACTCGTCCTCCACGTTCGGTGATGAAAACACGACCGAATCTTTGTTTCAATAAAAAAAAATGAAAGACTAAAAGTGTTGAGACTCCTCTAACAGAAAGCCAAACAAACAAATCAGGATCCAAAGTGTCCCAACAGGACTGTAAGTGTTTTTACTCGTGCTGCCGGAGACCTCTGGGGTAATTAGTGGGGTCCTATTTCCCAGAATGCACCTCTGTGAGCGTTGTTTACCATGGACTGTGTGAGGAAGTAGAGCTGCGAGCGGTTCAGCCACTGGCTGCTCTCCTCGCAGCTCTCCAGCATCGCCTCCCTCGGCGCGAACACGGCGTGCGTCACCCTCCCCGAGCACACGGCCTTATGGGAAAACAGCGGCAGCGGCTCGCTGGGGTCGAACACAAACACTGGAAACAGCAGCAACGCCACAAACAGGAGGACGTAAATTATTAACTCTTTATCTGCCACTTTTCACTTTAGCTTCACAAATTCAATTAACAATAAACAGAAGAAAACGGTTATTTTAATGAATTTAGTCAAAACAACTATAAATGACCGAGTTACTAAGGTTTAAACAAACTAAAGGAGATCATAAACCATCATGGAGTCCAAACTCACAGTCGGTGGAACCGTTCTGGAAGCAGAACGCAGCCATGTTCTTGGAGAGCGGGTCGGCCAGCAGCAAGCTGACGTCCATGGAGGTGCTCCACTCCACTACAACGCAGAAAAATAACTTTTAAAATCATCGTGTTTTGGAGCAAGAAGGGCTACAAATCCTGAATACCACTTCCTAAATTAAATACTGTCTTTTTTTGGGGTGGGGGTGAAGGACCACATCAAGCAGAAGCTGGACTATTGCCTTTATGGCAACGACCCCGTACGACCTACAGCATCTCTGTAACGAGGACCGCTGAGGACTTTTACAGAAATCAGATCGTTTTAAAGACTAAACCACATCTTTGAGTGGAATTTACAGTGTCACATTTCTCAGCTTATACGCGGGCACGATGAGTTTAAAAATACAAACTTCCAGCTTTCACAGAGAATTTAACAAAACACTGATTAGATGGTAGTTTTAACAGTTTTAAAAGAGCATTTTCAGGTCACAAGACCTAAGAGTAACTCTTCTGTGACCTTTACTTTCAGCATTTTCTGCCTTTAAAATCAGTCAACTTGTTTATCTTTGTTTTTGTGAATGTTTTAACACACGTGTCTGTAACGACAGATCTTATGATTATAACGTGTAAATGGGAACATGAGTGGATTATTGCATCGGCCTGAACTCTCGGTGAAGCTGTAAAAAGGTCGTACAGGAGCAGCTGAGCAGGTTCCAGCAGCAGAGCATCTTCTTGTTGTTGGTTCCCAGCAGATATTTGGAACAGCTCAGTCGTCCAAAACAAAGATCCCTGACAGAGAAAAGAAGAAAATCAAGTCACTTGTCGCCTCCTGGGGCTGTTGGAAACACAATTCAACTCCAGCCAGGAGAAGAGAGCGCCTGCGTAACTCCCATAAAATGACAAAATGAGAGAAAGTTCAAGTCTGGGAGAGAAATCAAAGTTACCGTCATTTTCGCTGTTTAAGTCGCAGTTTTTTGCATAAATTAGCATGCCTGCGACTTATACAGCGAAGGGACTTATTTACGTTTTCCCCCCATATTTATAACGATTTTTGGCTGAGATTCGACGATTTCATTCTTTGTGACATGGAAAATATTGAACACTACCATTTTCAGCCACTAGAGGGCCCTCGACTTATATGGGAAGCCAAGTGTCTCTTTAATAGTTAAAAGTGGTTATTAATGAGACACTTGGCTTGCCGTACCAAGCCGCCAACGTCTCGCCCCCAGAACTCCTGGAGGAAAGGTCAAATCAGCTGCATTTCACCGGGGCGACCCACGTTTCCGGGTTGTCAGTGGTGACGCATTATAAATGCGACTTAAAACAGCAAAGCGACGTATTTATGCTTTTTCCACTTTATTATTTATTTATTCTTTATTTGACACAGTAACTAATGGAAAATCAGCCACTTCACTTAATAACCAAACTTCTACAAATCAAATCCCTCCTACAAGTCAATCCTCAGTTAATCACACCTTCTCTTTTTCTCCATTCTCAGTCAGTGAGGTCAATAAACTGTTAAAAGATCTTGATCCTAAAAAATCTGCAGGTCCAGATGAACTTCCACCTTATTTCTTAAGGCTGGCTGCTCATATCATCACAGTCCCTGTGACCCACATCTTCAATCTCTCCATAAGACAAAACTCCATCCCAGACACTTGGAAAACAGCCTTTGTTCTTCCTTTGCTGAAGGGAGGAGACCCCACCTCACTGAACAACTATCGACCAATCTCTAAACTCTGCATTTTAGCCAAGGTTCTAGAAAAACTGATAAACTCTCAAATCAAAAATTACCTGGACTCATTTAACATCTTACCTCCACATCAATCTGGTTTCAGGAAACAACACAGCACAACCACTGCTTCACTGAAGGTTCTTAATGACGTTGTTGAAGCACTGGATGCTAAGGATTATTGTACTGCACTTTTCTTAGACCTGTCTGAAGCTTTTGACACTGTGGATCATAACATCTTGTGTCATAAACTCTCAGAAATCGGTTTCTCAGATCACACCATTGGTTGGTTCTCTAACTATCTTTCAGACCGGAGGCAATGTGTTCAATATAATGGTACTTCCTCCAGTTATTTAACAGTTAACAATGGTGTACCACAAGGCTCAGTCTTAGGACCCACCCTCTTTACAATCTACATACATAATGTAGGTAAAAACATCCCTAATGCATCCATACATTTCTATGCTGATGACACAGTTGTTTATTGTCGAGCTAAAACAGTTGCTAAGGCTTTCCAGCTTCTGAAATCTGCATTTAACATCATCCAGACTGATTTGTTTCACCTCAAACTTGTCCTAAATGCCGAAAAAACCAAAGGGATGCTTTTTTCAAATAGGAAGTTGGTCCCAGCAGTTCTTCCTCCGATTTTATCCTCAAATGGTGTCCCCATTGAGTTTGTTGATTCCTATAAATATTTGGGTATCTTGGTCGACTCACATCTTTCTTTTAAGCTCCATGTGGAAAACTTGGTAAAGAAACTGAAAATTAAACTGGGTTTCTTTTTCAGAAACAAATCCTGTCTAACCCTGAATGCTAGAAAACGCCTTGTATCAGTGACTTTCCTTCCCTCAATTGATTTTGGTGATATTATTTACATGAACGCTCCTACAAGAACCCTGCAGATGTTGGATGCTGTCTATCATGGTGCACTAAGATTCATAACTGGCTGTGATTATCGTACCCACCACTGCACCCTGTATTCACTGGTTAACTGGACATCATTAACTTCACGCAGACTCTCTCACTGGTACATTTTCATCTTTAAATCACTTCTTGGTCTGCTGCCTTCATACATCTCCTCCTACATGTCTCTGCGTGAGTGCAGCTACGGAGTGCGCTCTCAGGACATTATTACCTGCAGTGTTCCCTCAGTGAGGACTGAACTAGGCAAAAGGGCCTTCTCCTACTCCGCTCCTGTTTCCTGGAATATCTTACAAAAAGATTTGAAGCTCTCGACCTTGACCTCTCTAAGTGGCTTTAAGAATCTGTTGGACTCCTGGCAGGGACCAATGCAGACATGTTCCTGTTTTTAGTTTTATACATTTGTCTCGGAATCTAGCAGTTTTTTTTTGGTTTTGTTACCTTTTTCCTTTTAGCCATCCTATTTGTTAAAAAAAAAAAAAAAAAACAAAAAAAAAAAAAAAAAAAAACAGTATTATGAGTTTTTTTAAAAGCTTATTGTTGTTGCTGTTGTCCATTGTTGTCATCTTTCTTTGTTGAAATCAGGTCTCTCTTGTAAATGAGTCCTCGAGGCTCAATGGGATTTACCTGTATAAATAAAGGTTGATTGATTAGACATATTTGGGCTGATGCGACTTATACAGCAGCGAGGCGTGCACGGCGGTAAGTACGGTAAATGAAAACATACACTGCCTCGCCAAAAAAAAAAAATGTTGCCACCAAAAACAAAGGTTACACACTAATATTTCGTTGGACCGCCTTTAGCTTTGATTACGTCATGCATTCGCTGTGACATTGTTTCGATAAGCTTCTGCAGTGTCACAAGACCTATTTCCATCCAGTGTTGCCGTAATTTTTCACCAAGATCTTGCATTGATGGCAGATTATGACCACTGCTCAAAGCCTTCTCCAACCCATCCCAAAGATTCTCAATGGGGTTAAGGTCTGGGCTCTGTGGAGGCCAATCCATGCGTGAAAATGATGTCTCGTGCTCCCAGAACAACTCTTTCACAATTCAAGCCTGATGAATCCTGGCATTGTCATCTTGGAATATGCCTGTGCCATCACGGAAGAAAAAACCCATTTATGTAATAACCTGGTCAAACCCATTGATGTAATAACCTGGTCATTCAGTATATTCAGGAAGTCAGCAGACCTCACTCTTTGAGCACATGCTGTTGCTGAACCTACACCTGACCAACTGCAGCAACCCCAGATCATAGCACTAAGCATGATGGGTGCATCACTTCACCTGCCTCTCTTCTCACCCTGATGCACCCATCATTCTGGAACAGCGTCAATCTGGACTCATCAGCCCACATGACCTTCTTCCATTGCTCCAGAGTCCAATCTTTATGCTCCCAACAAATTGAAGCCCTTTTTTTCCCAGTTAGTCTCACTGGTTAGTGGTTTTCTTAAGGCTACACAGCTGTTTTAAGAAATGAGAAGCAACTCATTGCACCAGTTGGAGTTAAATAAACTTGTTGCAGCTGAAAGATGACCACCCATGCAGTAATTATCCAACAGGAGGCTCGTACCCATTTGCTTAGTTAAATCCAGGTGGCGACTTTTTGTTTGGCCAGGCAGTGCATTTGTGTGAACACAACACAAGCAGACCTCATCGAGTCTTAAATGAGTTCAAATCCACCTCAATATCTTCAACGAATGAACATCTGAACAACCGGAAACTGTTTTCTGCTTCCACGGGATTTAACAAATTCGGTGACAGCAACACGTCAACACAACGACAAGATGGAAAGACATCAGCAATGACTTATTGAGCTGCGGCCCATCTGTCTGGGAGGGGTCAAAGGTCACTCCCAAACCATATACGAGAGATTAATCACAAGTGACAACATTTCAGACAGCTGACAATCTTCCCAGGAGATTCACCCTAAAGGTCAGACTGTGCAGTGTCCAGAGAAATGAACTCCACCTTGAACTAAACAGGCCTCCGTCAGCAGGTCAAAGGTCACGATCTTTCTACAAACAATATGGCAGCACAACTTGGGTTTAGAAAGATTCGTCTGAAGGAAGCACAGGTGCAGATTAAAGTGGAGATGCTTACCCAGAATGCACTGCAGCAGACATATCAGCACCAGCACCTCATACCTGATGGTACGGGCACCTTGCAGAGATAAGAGTCGAGCACGAACTCCACCGTTAGACCACAGGATCGCTTTCAGCAGCACCAGGGACATCCCACAGGCAGCTCGCCTGATTTTTGTGTCTCGTCTTTAATCTTCGTTTACTTTCGTTGCCTCTTTAGGCTAAACAGCAACTTGTTGCCACAAACCATTGTTAGTCACACATCATCGATCTGCTCCTTTAAAACCTCTTCTCTATGTGGAATAAATCTACGTTTGAGTGGACTCAGAAGCTCCCGGGGGTTTCGATGAACCCTCAGCGTTTGTCGGCCTTTTCCAGGTCTTTACGACCAGAATAGTCCTCAGATGCAACACCTTGGTTTGGAAAAGGTGTTTTTTTTTCCCGACAGGAAGTGAGCGCAGCCCTCACTGGTTTCTGTGGTTACGTATAAAGAGTTCAAACCACCGACCTCCTGGTCTACATGCAGCAGTTATATAAACGAGGCTCCACACAGCTGTAAAAACACCAACAGCTCCCTCCACTTACTCCAATTGTCAGTCAACGTTCAGCACAAAGTCTCAGTGTTCGAGGAACCTCGCCTCCTAATACTTCAGACAAGGTCACACAAAAAAATACAGTTTTATAGAATTATTCCAACATTCAGGTGTTTATTTAAACCTTTTTTTTTTTTTAGGTTTAAGGCTTCAGTCCTGCTGAATGAGCTGAGTTGACAGAGTTTCCCGTTAGGTTGTGCAGAAACGAGCAGCAGAAGTTTTGTGCCCTCGCTGACCCGAGGACAGCTGCCAACATTTCTCCAGAGACGTTACGAAACCGCAGACCCGTCCTCTTCTTCGCTTTTAACCGACGGGGAAGACTTTCAGCTCGGACACAACCGTTATCCGACTGTTAAACGTTCGTCCGTCAGGAGCTTTCACGGCTAGAAGTCTGGACTTCGGGACAACGAGGCTCAGAGGCTTTAAACGTCTGAAGCCAGAGCTGTAAATTCAGCCTTTTGTTTGGGAATAAATAAATCAGGAGTACGTGTGCGTAAAGAAAAAACTAAGTGGTTTGTTTCCAGGAAGCGAAGCAAACGTGGAGGATGGATAAAATCAAAAGCTGAGAATTTAAAGTCCAGAGTGAGAAATAAGCGTTTTGTTACTTCAACTCCAAGCAAGACTGTTCGAGTGAAGTGTCGAGGATTTACTGCAGTTTCCGGACCACTGGGTCACTTTTAAGAGAAACGACAATTTAATTTGATTTCTCCCACTTTGAGCAGGACTCGGAAGCTTTTACGGGCGAAGCTCATTCGTGAAGCTCGTCTCTGAACGGGTTCTTCAGTTGCATAAAATGAAAGGTTTGATTCGCACAGCAGGGATCGTACATTTACAACAAAACGAAAGATTGTTGGCGGTAATTTATTAATGAAATTATTTAGTTTATTTCAAATTGTGCACGTTTGAGCTCAACTATAGTTCTTTGGAAGGAAATATTCTCGACTCATAAAAAGCTGTCGCAATCCAGTTTGTTGTAGTAGACGCTCGCTACGTCGCGGTTTGTTTTTTGCGGACTCGCTCTATCGCGGTTTTTCAAAATAAGATTGGACATGACTCACAATTGGCAGATTGATGGATGAGCCGCGTGATCCGCATGGAATTTTTACTTAAAATAAATTATTTTAAATTATTTAGCACCTGCTGCACCTTTGTGCAGCACACACTGCAGGATAAGCTTCCTCCTGCAGCTGATCAGCTGCTCTCCACGCACAGAGGAGAAGTGGGCGTGGCCAAGAGCGCTTGCAGGTGGCTGAGAGCAGAGGAAGCAGGGAGCTGAAATCATGACATTCTGTGCTCATTTAGAGTTTAGAAGCATTGTTTAGAATATTGCAAGGGTGTGGGAAG